AAAAATAATAAAAAGACTGAATAAAGCCGACTGTTCATAACACATCCGCAAACACCCGACATGAATGGTGTTCAGTGGCCTCTTTGTGGATGTTTATTAATGAGCCGAATTTTTTGTAGGCGTACATAACTGTTATTGTAAGAGGAATAAGAAAAGTGATAGTTTTCACTGCTTAAAATTAATAATTTGAGAGATTCTGCAATATTCAGGTCACATACTCTATTTCAGGCCATCATGTGTATAAGGTGCATCAACCTGACGACCAAGAAGTAAACCAAGACTTCGGCAAACTTAACCTTGATTCATTCGCCGTGAAATGTGTCTAATAACTGTAAGTTGTCCAAATAACTAGCGCTAACAAATACGGACGATACAAAAAAAGAAATGAAAAGAAACACGTTCACCTGTTAATGATAAGATGAATAGGTACATGTAAAAGTACCTACCGAAATAAAAATTGAAAAACAAAATGTATTGAAAATATTTGAAAAATTTTTAGTATTATCGAGTTATTTTTATGATTTTAAAAGCGAAAAGTAAGGTGGATGCAATAAAAGATTATAACTGCTATTTCGTATCGTGGTAGTAATGGTAGGCCATTAGCAGGTTTTACAATTTCAGGATAAAATACTATAATATCTCGACCTGCACATAATGGCTTTAAGAGCTGCAAGTGTATTTCCTTAATTAGCTGCAGTGAATATCCAAAACTTAACAAACATATTTCTGAAGTTTCTACTTTTGTTTAAACTTAATATTGTTACCGACTATATTAGTATCATCAGTAATTCAAGGATAACTACGCAACAATCGATTCTCTCAAAGGATAAATGAGGTGATTTAAATTCTGCACAGCTTTATTTATCTATTTTCGTTGTTTATTTTTTGCTATTTCAATTATTGTTTAATCAGAAGTTGAGTTTTGTAGCTCTTGAATTTAGATTCAAAACACTAATAACTAGTGAACAAGTAAAACTGTAATAAGCAGTATAACAGTTGTTTAAAAATTAAATATTGCCTTTAACTTGAAGTAACTTTAAGTTTTGCTCAAAAGAAATTTGAAGTATCCTTAATCAACTTTAGTGTTCCTTTTTTCTTAACACTGCAAATAATTCTACTATCTATATGCTTGGTACCATTAAAAAAATGTAAAGTGAAATTGTGACCAACCTGTACGATTGTTGTGTGGATTGTTCACTGTTAAAGCACTATCTGGTTAAGAACTGCACCGTATTGAAGTATCACAAGAATACTTAAGAAATACCTTGAACTTGGGTTTATATACGATGACCCACTTACCTGCCGAATACCATTACATCCACTACGTTTTAACGAACCAGAAGCAGAACTCTTCAAAACTGACCATACGGTCAATTCGCAATGATAATGCGAAGAAAGATGTTAGTTATTTACTAAATATTATTAGTTTCCCCAACATATGCAGATGAAGTGAATTGATATTGAGATGTATTCTGTAGATTCAAGTACGATTTTATGGCAGTTTTTTTTTTTTGGTTGACGACCTGTTTATGTTTAATTAGTATAAAAAAATATCTGAAGCTTTCGAAGCTAATAAGTAATAAAGGAGTGTGGGTAGTTATTTATGAATTTAGAAGCAGCACAAATTAATAGAGAACGCAAAAGTTCTCTCATCAATAGTTTTCACTTTTCCTAAATCTTAAGAACATTAACAACTTTTAAATTTAATTACAATTGCTGGGTTAACAGGTGTTGTATTGAAGAAAGATTTTTCCTAAAATAGTTTTCATTTTTGCAGAGGTTGAATTTTTTTAATATGCCAAAATAGGGGTTTCATTAATTATATGAAGTTTCAACTAATACTGACCCCAAACGAAAATGTTCGATACAAGCTTTACCACCACTTTTTCACCCCCTTAGAGATCGAATTTCGAAGTATTCTTCATAAGGAAACTTCTGTGCAAAATTTCATCTATTTAGGTGCTAGGTCCAAGGGTTTATCCTGGATGTTGATGAGTCAGAGAATAAGGACTTTTCCTTTCATATTTAAGAAAATTTTTTTTGAAAAAGTTTTTAGTACTCCAGTTGTTTCCATTTGTTGTTATACAGTTAACCTAATAATGTTTTTGTGACATATTGAAAAATATAATTGTCATTATTGATAAACAATTATCCTGATCCTGATCCTGATCACCTCATATATGTGACGTCCTTCTATTAATGTCTCTAAAGTCCTTCCGAAATTGATTCAGCCGTTTCAAGGATTAGACTTCTACAATCGCTTTTATCTGACACTATGGTAGTCATAATTAAAAATTGTAATTCTCTTACTAATTTTTAGCTTTTCTGTGTAAATTTTTACAATATAGAGAAGACTTATGAATTTTTACATTTTGTTAATGAAATAGTATACCTATTATTTGACCTAAAACAAAATGTCGTTCCAATTTTTCGCGCGTTACAGTTTATATTTCTAATTTTTCATAGATCAGTTTATCAAACAGTTAAAATGGTAACAACGTGTCCAAAACAAGTGTAGAGTTGCTTTTTGATCGAATGGGGCCACGGATGTGTAAATGAGTTGTAATGCGCTTACAGTTAGCGTTTCGTTCGTTCCGTTATGTCACGGAAACTGTTATAGCTCTTCTGCCTTGGTTTATGGACTCTACTGTAGAAGTTGTACTGTGGTAGAGACGTACGACTAAACTAAGACGATATGGAAGAATGGAGAAAATAATTTTTATTGCGCGCTGTATTCCGCACTTAAACTTATTGAACCACCTTCAGGTACAATAATTACGTGCTTCCTATGCATACTCGATTAGTTCAAGTAGGTATTTTACGCTGTAAACTGTAGGTAATTTCAATGTACAAACCAAAAACTACCAATTTGCTACGTTCTTTGGTACTTATGTGAATTTTGCTGAACAGTGTTTATAAAATCTTCTTATCACTATCACTACACAGCATAAGACACAGTCGCTTTCCCGCTGTCTGTCCCTATGTATGCTTAAATGTTTAAAAGTACGCAACGGATTTTGATGCGTTTTTTTTTTTTATGCATAATATAGTAGAGAAACACTGATAATTTTAGAGGTTTCTAATGTGATGTCGTAATAAACACATTTTTTGCGCTTACATTGCAAACGCTGGCTGAACCCTACGAGATAGATCAAAAAAATGTACTACAATATTGTACATCTTAAAAGGGTCTACAAAAAAGTCCGCGATGGTATATGTCTATCTCTTAGGGA